TTTTTTTTCTTTTCTTTTCTTTAAGGTAACTCAGACAACTTAAGAATTAGGGTAGAATTAGAAAGAGCGGAGATACGGAAAATTTGCAACTTTTCAAATCGTTACCGATCGATTCCCATGCTAACTAGATATGTCCACGGTTGTTTGCATGTAATTAGGCCATTGAAAAGGACTTAAGGAACGCGGGAAGGTGGTTTTTCATGGTTGGCGCGACAGCTTTCCCGAATATTAGACCTAGGACGAACTACTTCAACGACGACGACCTAAATAGCTCGATCTTGGTTCATCTAGCAATCCAATTAACCGAGTTTTCTCGCCTCTTTGTGCAATTTTCAGAACTGGGACTCTTTTTGTATCCACGTTGTGTTTCTTACTCGAAGAAATAATAGAATTCGCGAGGCGAGGAAGAAACTCGCCAACCTAGATAATTTGACCGATATACAAGGATCATTTAATCAACGAAATCTCAAAGAGAATTCCTTCGAATCGTCGTCCGCGAAAAGATGAGAGAGAACGACGCGTAGAAATAGCATTTAATAACGAAATCCCTCGCGAGAACTAAAAAGCGAGACGAGCGACAGATCCGTGGTAGAGGTGACGAATAAAGAGAGATAAAAAAAAAAAGGAAAAGAGAAACGGATGTAGAATCGACCGAAGCAGAAACCATTTGTAATTAAGAGAGCGGTGCAACGGCATCGAGATATTTCGGCGAGGGTGAATTCTTCGGTTGTGCAGCTAGCGCGAACAATGCTCGTCCGTTCTCCACGAGTCAAGTGACTTCTCGACCTCTCTTTTTTGCTATAGAAACGACGCCTTGGACAGAAATGCTCGTGGTCCGAGCTCAGTTTAGAAAACCGGAAGGTGGATACATGCATACCGGCGATCGATGTTCCGTTACCCCTGTTAGTTTCGCCGAACGCTGGCAATTCCATCAGGTGGGGCGATTCAACGCCCATACTTCACTGCGAGCTCCATTATGCTCAACGTGAGAACCTCGCCAAGTGGTGTAAACCAATTTTGACAGAGTTTAATGAACGGCTGGAGGGAGGAAAAATATTTAATGTTTGTTCTCTGCAATGAAACCAGGGAGGGGAGTAAAGAAATTTGCTGAAAAACGTTTGCCAAACTTGTAGACAGAGGTAATGTTATTTTATAGTTATTACAGGGTGGAAGAACGTTCATTAATGGACTTGTTCATATTTGGCGGGTACATTGTTTAAATAGAAAAGTGTGGTGGAAGGCTAGAACCGAGATTGCAAACTCGAATGTTTGGATATATTTATAGGCTCAGTCGACAAATGTCGCCAAGACTCGGCGTAAAATTTTTTAATTTGTAATATAAAATATAAGTTGAAATTTTACTTTCGTTCAGAAAGCACTTATTCTGTTAATTTAATATTAACAGATTCATTTGTTCCTTTTTTTAAATATTATAGTAAGAGAAATGAATACTAAATATTACAGTATAGAGGAATGAATACTTTCCGGATATTAATAAAAAGTATAGAGATATACGATCTACTATGTCCTTTATATTAAAAATTAAGGATTTTATCCTGAATGAAATTTTGAATATTGTGGGAACTAGGTCGATCATGTCCAATTCCTTTCGATCTAAGCCAATCGACTCCTTCCGGTCGGACTATCCTCTTCATATATTTTGTATGTCCCGACTCGAGTACGAAATGTCAGGTTACATACTTCTAGTATATAACACAAAGTATTAGCCTGCGATAAAATACTGACAATTAATGAATAAAATACTGAATGAAAATTTATATAATTAATATACATATTAGAATAATCGTAAAAATTTATGTAAATAAAATTCGTATTAAACACGGAATTATTACAGTTTTAAGAACACACAACGACTTGTCGAAAGTTTCGTACAGGAATATTTAATCGAATTACACGGTAAACATATGTGTTGTTACACGGTAAAAATCATTGCGCGATAAAAATCTGTAATTTCGGAGTTAATCGACCGAATTTTTAATTGTATCGTTAAGCGTTTTAGAAACTTGTTTGCAGCGCTCGATTGCGAATCAAACGTTGGCATTTTAAAGCACGAGTGGAGCTAATTAAATCCCCTTCTTTATAGTACGTCGTAAAGCGGTAATTAAACAACAGTTTTGTGGCCGTGAAACGCTCGATAAACAATAAAACAATAAAAATAGAAAGTAAAAAATAAAACGTGTTTGCGTTTTTTGCCGCAGCTCGGCCTTAATCAACGAAACATCGTATCCGCCAGGGGATACGACACAAACGAGCTTTGTGGCACCGTGCCATTTACCACTCTCATTTCCGAATTTCCACCGCGAAATCGCTTGGAAATCATTGAGACACGTAGATTTTCGGGTCGTGATGTTTGCCAGCGGAGGCACACTCTATCGATCTAATCGTCGGTTTGCCAGGATTAAGCTTCGCCAGTAATATCTTTCTACGCTTTGGTGCATACACTCTGTGTGTGTCAATAACCTATTCTGCCGACAATGAGCGTAAACATTTTCTTTTTTTTTTCGGAACGACGAAACTATAGCTATGCAATGCTTAAAAATACGCGATATTACAATTGACATAATTTATAAAATTCTGTCAATAACCTATTCTGCCGATAATGAGCGTAAACATTCTTTTTTTTCAGAACGATGGAACTATAGCTATGCAATGCTTAAAAATACGCGATATTACAATTGACATAATTTATAAAATTCTGTCAATAACCTATTCTGCCGATAATGAGCGTAAACATTTTCTTTTTTTTTCGAAACGACGGAACTATAGCTATGCAATGCTTAAAAATACGCAATATTACAATTGACATAATTTATAAAATTCTGTCAATAACCTATTCTGCCGATAATGAGCGTAAACATTGTTTGTTTTTTTTTCGGAACGACAAAATGTATAACTATAGCTATACAATGCTTAAAAACACGCGATATTACATAATTTATAAAATTCTTTGTGTGTCAATAACCTATTCTGCCGATAATAAGCGTAAACATTTTGTTTTTTTTTTCGGAACGACGAAACTATAGCTATGCAATGCTTAAAAATACGCAATATTACAATTGACATAATTTATAAAATTCTGTCAATAACCTATTCTGCCGATAATGAGCGTAAACATTGTTTGTTTTTTTTTCGGAACGACAAAATGTATAACTATAGCTATACAATGCTTAAAAACACGCGATATTACATAATTTATAAAATTCTTTGTGTGTCAATAACCTATTCTGCCGATAATAAGCGTAAACATTTTGTTTTTTTTTTCGGAACGACGAAACTATAGCTATGCAATGCTTAAAAATACGCAATATTACAATTGACATAATTTATAAAATTCTGTCAATAACCTATTCTGCCGATAATGAGCGTAAACATTTTCTTTTTTTTTCGAAACGACGGAACTATAGCTATGCAATGCTTAAAAATACGC